CGCAAAATCTGGTCACAGCAGTTTGGGAAGAAAATGGCAGCAGCTGCTGACGAAATGTCATCATCCCTATATACTTGTTTTTTAGTCCTCGCTGGTGTAAAAACATGGCCTCTTCCCGCTTTGTTTTTGACCCACAGTCGAAGCCACGGTGACAAGCAACCCATGTGGTTCACATTGGGCATCAGAGAAGCCATCAAAGGCTGGGACCTGGGCCTGCAGGACATGTGTGCTGGAGAGAAGAGGAGACTGGTGATTCCTCCAGCTCTGGCCTATGGAAAAGAAGGGAAAGGTGAAGCATATGTGTTTTTCTCCACTACACGCAGCTGCGAAATTACCATTTATACTATTTATACTATTTATTGCTGGTACTTCTGTATGAATAGCATGATGGCATTATGCATGTTGTGAGTCGTGCTTCTCTATTTAGCTTTAAATGTCATCTTAGGACTCCCACACTGAATCCTGGCTTCATTCAGTGACATTAGTCCAGTTTGTGTCAGCATGGAGCATGCTAACAGTTCTGTGCGTTATCTCTGGTAAGCACAAACTGCACTAACAACAAAAAAGATGCTATTAACATTATTCTTTCTAATGATGCATCCTAGAAACCTTTCTTTACTTCAGCTTCTTGTTATGTTGTCTGTGGTCAGGTAAGATCCCACCTGAGAGCACGCTGACCTTCATCGTTGAGGTTATGGAAGTCAGAAACGGGCCGAGGTCACATGAGTCCTTCCAGGAGATGGACCTTAACGATGACTGGAGGCTCTCCAAAGATGAGGTGAAGATAARAATCAGCAAATTCAGTTCACTTTACATTCCTTCTAGCTTACCTCATGTTAACCTCTGAAGCCTCCGTCTCTCTGGGCTGTGACTGTTGGTGACAAATGACGACTGGAGTTTATAAAATGCCCCGAAGCTGTCACAGAAATTTTTGATTTCCTCGAGTTAGTCGCAGAACCGCACTCTGGTGTGGCTGAAATTTTGAACATATTCYAAAAATGTGCAAGACCAATTTTCTCTCAAGATAGTTAAAGCCATAGCATGCATCTGAAGATCGTCTCAGACATGTTTCAGTTTAGTTCCAGAGTCAGAAAGTGCAAGAAATGGTTCTAACAGAGGATTTGGCGACCTTTGAATTGTAACTCACTTTGAAAAGTAGAAATGAAACCAGAATATGTTAGCATCTCATTGAGACATAATTAGGATACTTTGTGACTAAACTGCTAAATAAATAAATAAATAAATAAATAAATAAATAAATAAAGCATTTGCAGAAACAAATAGTTTTTGTTTGGAAATTTTTGATTTAAAATTTCTATTACAGGGCTATTCACTTGGTGGCCCACAGGCCACATCCGGCCCGCCAATGAGACATCCCCCACCCCCTAAAACATATAAAAATTAATTCTACTTATTATTTGTATTTTCATTCTTTAAATTAATTTAATATAAAAATGGATTTAAAATACAAAGTAAAAGATAGTATTGTTCTGTTACATGCTGCAGTGTTTCACCTGCCATTAATAATTAATGGGCAAGCGTTTGCATGTTCCAGGTGAAAGCGTACCTGAGGAAAGAGTTCGAGCGCCACGGCTACCCTCCCAACGACACGCTGCACGAGAACATGACCGAGGACATATTTGCCAAGGAGGACACGAACAAAGACGGCTTCCTTTCCTCGAGAGAGTTCACCTACAAACACGATGAGCTGTGATGCGGCTGCAGCTTATTGTAAAGATTCTCATGTTAGATAAAATTTTCTAAGTGRCGCGTGGCAGAGCAGTCTGTGGAACTCAGAGCTGAAATTAATTTTACATCAAAGAAAAACATCATTTTAGAAAAATCGCCTCTATTTTCTATGGATTCTATGTTCAGGAAATCCCCAACAAGCCTTTAGTCCAACACAATGAGGGATTCAGTGATTTGTGAAAATGGCTGCAGGTTAAAAATAAATGATGTTTATCAATAAATGACTTTACTTTTTAAATAAAATGATCAGCGTTTTAATTGATGATGCATTAAAATAGTTTTTACACTCAACCAGCAGATGGTGCTGCCCGCTCAACTTTTAGAACCGGCTGATAAGAGCATGTTTAATTTACCATTTGGTAACAAAATCCAACACAACAAATACATTCCAGAAATTTCTTACACGTCTCGCATTTTCTTAGAAAAAAATACATTAATAAAGAGTAGCACCAATACAAGTCATGTGGATAAGTTAGTGACAAAGAATTCACATGAAAACTACATTTTTGATTGAAAATTAAACTGAATTTAGCATCTCAGTCTCCAATGAATGTGTTTTTGTGTCTAATTTTTAAAGTTTATTAGACTCTATAAGCCTATTCTACCTAATAACAGTATGTTTAACACTTTTACCAAACATGAGTTTATATTTTTTGGAGGATTTTTTGTTTTATTTTAAAACTGTCCATCTCAAAAGCTTCAAAATGATGCCTATTATTTGGTCATTTATCACCGGGCGTAGCAATAAGCTAGTTTTGTTGAAGAGTGTTTGAAAACTTGATTTTTTTTATTATTATTTTAATCTGGAGTGATTTCATCAAGAATTTCTGGCTTATTTTTAAAAAGGAGTAACTCCAAGCAGGACAAAGATGCCTAACATTTAACAGGTCTCTCTTGGAAATGAGATTCTGAATTTTAATGAGACTACCTGTATAAATAAAGGTCAAATAAAATAAATTAAAAAACATTATATGAAGGGATTTCCTGGCATCACATTAGTCAGCAGAGAAAAACGGTCGATTTCGAAGGAAAGTAAAAGGTTTCAAATTAAAATAACTTTTTTCTTTTTTTTCTGCATCTTCTTTTGCCAGCTTGGGTCACAAATTAAAATCTTGCTCTACTTTGTTTGTTCAGAAACAGGATAAATGGTATTTAAAAGCAGGCGCTTGTACACAAAACACAAATAAATTGTGACAAAAGTCCTAAATTAGCTTTGTGAAAATCTGTGATGAAGCACCTAATTTGTGATTTGTTGTCTTGTATGTTACAGTTTTGTTTGATCATCTGTTAGAGATAAGATGGGGATGACTCTCAGCTACTACCACACTGCAGTTTAGCTCTGCGCCTGTACACATGACATGTAAACGTTAATGTTTATCTGCGACAAGCATTTTGAAGTGGGTTGAGCTGTTGAAGAAATGATAACTTTCTGAGAATTGCATTGAAATCCAGTGGTTCAGGAGGTATTTTGCTAACAGACACAGGCAGTTACATGATTGTCTGACGTGTCCTTTTTGGTGATAATAAACAATGACAGACGCTGGTGGAGCGTACTGACATAAAAACTGTATGCAGTTTACGAACAGCAAGCTCTCCTCCTCCTCCTCCTCACCACTGAAAGCATTCCACACTGAGAGAGGTCAAAGGTCATATTGCCAGAATAAGGCCGGACCTTGTTTGACACTTGTGTCCRCACAAACACACTGAACAACACAAAGTCTCTGTGGCTGTTTTGTTACTTTCTTGAGTCGCCAGAAGACAGAGGTGAAACAGAACGTGTTCCYTTCAGTGAAGAGGGCGAGTCCGTGACTCATCTGAGGTGTGTTCTGATCGCGGGTGGTTTGGGATTCACTGAAAAAATAAAAAAACAGAAAAGAAAAAGAAGCTATGAGGCTAAGGTTTGGGGTAAATATGAAAAACCATGAGCATTTTGTGGGACTACCTCGGTTTTCTTTGCTGGGGTAGATCCGAGGGAAAGGCTTGAAGTCGTCAGGTGGGGGGAAGTCCTCCACAGGGTGGAACTGGAACTTGGACTCAAAGTCATCTGCTGAAAATATTACATTTAAAGCTTTTATTTTGTTAGGTTCACCTGAGGCAGACCTCAGTGTCAAAAACAAAGCAATAATGAAGGAAAAACTGAATTTTTTTTCATCTCTGGATTAATGACTCAGCACTCAAACTTACTTAGATTAAACCTTGCTACTTTTATTTTTGTTTTCTTTTTTTAAACCTTATTTTATTTTTTATTGTAATCACATTTGAATTTGTTTATTTTATGATAAACTTTCCGCATACAAATTATATTTTGGTATCCATTCTGCCACCTAGACCAGGATTCCTTGAAAAAAGTCAAGGATTTCTGCAGTTTTGCTRAATCTAAATTTCATCAATACACCCATCTTTTGGTATAATATATTTAAAACTTAAACTGCCTTCTGTTGTCCTAAAGCCTTGAGAATGACATCATGTCACCTTATTGTGTTTTAAACTCCAGTCTTACCCAAACTGTGCAGGTGTCCGTTCCTGAGGCTGAAGGGGGGCAGGGGAGGAAGCGGTGGTGGGGGAGGAATGCGGGTGGACAGCTCTGTGGTGGGGGAGCGTGCCGGAGGAGCTGGGGGAGGAGCCAGCCGACCCACCCCTGTTAACGAGACGTCAGTAATTAGATGTGGTGAAACTTAAAGGCTGTTTGATGCCTTTCACAAACCCTCAAATACAAGCACTGACCTGCACCTCTGGGCACCGCTGGCGGCCGTCGGGTGGGCACGTTGCAGGGGTACGAGGGCGGCAACGAGCGCAGAGCCGGCGAGGGCGCCGGGGCTGCTTTGGGCAGCGGCGGCGGCAGCGTGGACGGGCAGCTCGGGGCGAAGGGTGGCGGTAGAGGTGGGGGAGGTGGTGGAGGAGGGGGCCCCAGGGGGCTGTCGCGCAGAACTGGGAACCGCGAGGGCTCTGAACCGGCCGTGGCGGGAGGTGGGAAGTAGAAGCAGCCCGAGGAGCGGTCCCCRGGGGCGGACGACGGGGGCGGAGGAGGCGGGCCGGAGGGATGAGACGCAGGTGCGTGGTGCTGGACGGGCAGCCACGTCGGCTTGGTGACCTGCGGCGGAAGGGGAGGCGGARGGCAGGAGGGGAGGGGAGGAGGCCTGCTGGAGGGCCACTCCTGGGGGGCTGGAGGCGGGGGAGGAGCGGAGGGAGGGGCGGGTGGAGGTGTGGAGGGAGAGGACAGGGGGAAAGGGGGCGGGTGCTTGTTGCTGTGAGATGGGGAGGGAGGAGCCGAGGAGGAGGAGGTGAGCAGACGCTGGATCTCTGAGGTCCTGTGAGACTCTGGATTGGTCAGATCAGATGTGGGCGGGTTCCACAGCGGCCTCAGGGAGGCTGCTGAGCTCGATCGAGATACTAAAACACACAAACACACACACAGGAGTCATTTCAGTTATTAGATGATCACTTGTTTATTAAATTATGACATGTTGCACCAACCTGATGCTTTGCCTGSTGAGTCTCTATGGCCTATAGGTCTGAGGGTGGGGAACCCTGCAGCAAATAGTCCACTTAAAGAGGGTCCACTGGGCCCACCTGATGAGCCCTGAGAAAGACCAATACTTCCAGATAATTCTCCAGTGTTACTCTTTGGCTCTGAAGGAAACAATAAAACACACATGATGTTATTAAATCAAATGCAAAAACTAAAGCTCTGMTCATTAATAGGTTACAATACATTAATTTTAAAAGTCATATTTGAAGTCCTACTCCTTAAGTGCACAAGCTGCCATGTTTTAYTAAAAGATTTCACAGTCTTTGCCTGTGTTGGCTTCAGTTAATTGGAACAGGTCTACCGCTTCAGAACAGAAAATGAAAAGTATCCCAGAGCATGACGCTGCCACCACCATGCTTCACCAGGAGCTCTTCTCTAATAAAATAAAAARAGGGTCGTGTTTGTAGCCTTTTTCTTTCTGACCAAACTGTTCAGTTTTTGTTGTAATTTTTAAAGTTAAAAGTTTAGAGATTCACTCACGCTTATTTATAAGTTTGTTTTTCTTCATTTGTTGTCAGGAGAAATGATTGTTCAAAGCCAAAGTCCTTAGATGTGAACAATTGTTTTAAGGTATTCAGAACGAATGTAAAATTTTACTTTGATGTAACAGATAAAATGTTTGACATGTGCTTCTCAAAATAAAAAAAATGTAAAGACTAGGGCTGTCAAATGATTAATAATTTTAATCTGATTCATCCCAAAGTAGCTGTGAATTAATCATGATTAATCTTAAATTTAATATACATTT